TGTTGACCTGACAAATTTTTTTTTTTTTTTTTTTTTTTTTTTTTAAAGAAAAGTTGTCCTCCCAAAATGTTCCCTTCACTGATTTCAATACTGGATGATGTTTGTGTGCCCGTAAATGTATTTTTGTACTAATAGACCATTAATGATGAATGGCACACCACACCAGTACCAGTTTATTTTTAGACTTAACACCGCTTTAATTGGATATTAGCGCTTCACATGTGGCTGATTTCTTTATTTTTGTTTCCTCCTCTGCAACACAATTTTAAGTATACCACTGTATTAATAAATAAAATCATTTTAAAGTAACGCTTGACAAAGATGTCCCTGTCTTGCCTTGCAAAGTGAAACATGTTCTTGATCTAAAATAAGCTGTCGTATCCAACACTGTGGCTATATTTAGCTGCAGTTAACTCGCTGTTTAAGACCATTTTTTGAGAGCTACAAATGTACACAGAGGGTTGTTCCCCCTTCGCGCAATCCACAAGAGTGGCCACTAGATGGCACTGGTGATTCTCAAAAGTGTGAATCCCAATGTCAGAACCATGCAAGTCATTTTTTTAAGCAACGTTATGTCTCTGGAGAAGGAAAAATAAAACTCACTTTGACTGCCCAAGGCCCTAAAAAAACATAACTTTGAGTTTGGGGGTCAATGCTCATTACTCCTCCCCACGCCTCCATAGTGCCCACATCCAAAAGTGACCATCACGTTCATATAACTTGAGAATGTACGGAGTTTAATATGAATGCTACCAGATCATTTCAAGACCCTGCCTGTCAAAGACCTACACGTGACTTTAACAGTTGTTTGGTGCGGCGCAATGTTTGCTCGGCAACGGTTGATCAATATTACTCTTTTCTATTGATATACCGGCTCCAAACGTGTTCAGTCATGAGCAGTATTCTGATTTAATTATTTTTTATTGGATTTATTAAATGGGCTGCCACCCATTTAATAAATCTGTGGTCGACTGGTTAGCACGTCTGCTTTAAAGTACAGAAGTCCTGGGTTCGATTGCAGGCTGTGACTTTTCTGTGCGAAGTTTGCTTGTTCACACCGTGCCCGTGTGGGTTTTCTCCCTAGTGCTCCGGTTTCCTCACTGCGGTCAGACCAGCCACCACACGCAAAGTTTAAGTTTCATATCCATCTATCCATCCATCCATTTTCTGATCTGCTTTATTCTCACAAGGGTCGCGGGGCATGCTGGAGCCTATCCCAGCTGTCTTCGTGCACTAGGCGGGGGACACCCTGAACTGGTTGCCAGCCAATCGTGGGGCACAAATAGACGAACAACCATCCGCGCTCACTCTCACACCTAGGGACAATTTAAGATAAGATAAGATATCCTTTATTTGTCCCACACTGGGGAAATTTACAGTCTACAGCAGCAAGATAATGGGTAGAAAGAAGACTCAAACAGGGATATTAAAGTGTTCCATTAAGCTGCCATGCATGTTTATGGAATGTGGGAGGAAACCGGAGTACCCGGAGAAAACTCACGCAGGTACGGGGAAAACATGCAAACTCCACACAGGAAGGCCGGAGCAGGAATTGAACCCTGCACCTCTGCACTGTGAGGCCGATGCACTAGTTTTGCATTACTGCATTGACCCAAGATTTTTTTCTTTTTTAATTGCGATAGAAAGAGAAGTTGATAACCCTGCATCAATGACTTAAAATTCCACCTGATTTAAAAACATCATCAAAAATTTTCATCATCCAGCAAACAGACCAGTTCGAGGGCACACTGGGCCACCCCATGCTGTACAGTATATCCAACCATAATACTTTGATGTTGCATTTCAAAATAAAAGGCCCTGAAATCTGCAAATGTGACCTTTACACCTGAATTTAAAAAAAAAACATTTCAAAAATTCAGTTTTCCCGCAACCAGACTTGTTCTAAGGCACCCTGGGCACCCAAGGTATCCAAAGTCCTCTCCTTTTTCCAGTAGGCCTATAGTTCACTCTCGAGAGAAGAAGCTTAACGTGGTTCACACTTGGGAGGGAACTTGTTTTGTTGCATTTCACTGACTTTACTGGTGCCTTTGCGGATTTCACTAATTTACGTTTTTCGGAGGCGGTCTTTGAACGTCTCTTGAGCTGACTAGATCAGAGTCGGCGCGTTGTTGAAGAGTGCTTGTATTATTTGGGGAGTTTGGAGAATAAAATACCTGCTTAGAAGACAACACTGCAGCCCTTTGCGTCTCGGAGCTGCAACAGTTGCGTACAAATTTCCAGGTTAAACATGATGGGTGCGTCTTTATTGCTTTCTTTCGACATAATAGTACTACGTGTATCAAATGTGCAGATTTTATCTGTGTCCACTTGGGGTCGTCACCCTCACATTCTACACTATCCATCTATTATCCACTCGTGACTGAATGTGTGAGACTGACTTTGCAAAGCGTGCCCTGGCCTGTCGAATGACGTACGTGGGACTCAATGAATCAAGAGTGAGGAGTTGGCTGGCTGTTAACTGACTAACTGATCATCACTCAGCATGGTGAGGTGTCAAATACAATTCCAAAAAGTAAAAATCCTCATGGAGAGCTCATTTACCTGCCCGTTGAGGAAGAGCACCTCTGGTTTAAATCAAACTGTGGCAGCGTTTTTACTTACTGGACCTGGATTTGACATTTCTGAAGGAAAACCAGTTGTGCTATACAGCAGGCACAGATGCACTTTGGCATATTTTATTAAGTGTTTCACACTTAAACTTTGTTCATTGACTGTCTTTTACACTCTCCTTTTTTGCTCACGTTTCTTTCTCTGCAGTTACAGTCAATGTGGACGACATAAAATACAAAAATCCGCGATACGGTGAATCCGCAAAACCTGAAGCGCGAACTACGGAGGGGCATATTATATCTTCATTTAGAAATATTTCATAGCATTGAGAAGGATTCCGCTGACCATATGCTTTGTTTTTTTTCCCCACAAATGCGCCCCAACTTCACCCGCTGGGATTAAAACCTCCCATGCTGCACCTCTTCACAAATCAAGAGCTGCCATACACACGCACACCGCATCTCCGAACGCCCCCTCCTCCATCACTATAGTAGTTAGTCAGCCTGGTTCCCGCTGCTGCATGCGCACAGGCGTATTGTGGCACATTTCCAACAACTGCGCACCAGAAGCACGCCGCTGGTGCACAATTGCGGATATTCTACGACAGAATTCGACGCGCTGGATGCAGGAAGTGTCCACGCTGCGCCTTTGACGCGGTGTCTTGAATCCACACATGCAGTCTCTGTCATCTTCAGCATAGCAGCGTGACAATGGTGCAAGGTTGGTTATCCGCTTCGTCGTCGGTGACTTTTCTTCCGAGGAATGGATTGTTTGCCGGAGCTAGGAAGGAATTTGTTGGAACCCTCGTTTGGATTTCCTGTGTGACGCTTAGTATCTGGTGCTGAGTCCACTCCACTCGCCTCTTCTTGCCTTCCACTCGCGGCAGCACGACTGCTAATTGGAGAGCATCTTAATTGATGGAGAACAACCACATAGGGCTTTGACCTCCACTCTCGCCTTTTACGCTTACTAACCCTGTTTCTATTTCTGCAATTCCTGTGACGAGTATTCGGCTCTCTTTTGCTCGCCCGACCTTTGCGTTGCACCTCAATTTAAGGACAATGCCACTGAACGCGTTGCCCCGGGCTGGCATCGGCGGCCAGGGCTCCCTCAGCCCGGCGTCGCTGTCCCGCAGTCTCTCTCGGCTGAGGGAATACCGGACTCGGACACGGATCATGTTGGCCCTCGGAGTCTCTCAGATGGTCCTGGGAAGCCTCATCTTGGCCGTCAGCTTCGCGGCTCTGGCTCTCACCACATCTCCCAGGGTGCGACACTCTTGCCCTTTCTGGGCAGGTTTCTCCGTGAGTACATCTATTTCTCCTCCTTTTCTTTGTTTTACTTGCCCTGAACTGTAATGGGCTGCTCTATTTGTGGGTTAAAGCAAAACATGTAATACATTAGTGGAGAATTTGAAGTGTACAGCAATGTTTCCCTGACTTTTATTGGGACATAAAGAGCACACCCGTTACATTAGAAGAAATCTGAAGGCACACCACCAAACAGAAGGGTCACAAAACGTGGCCACACTGATGATTTGCCATCTAGTGGAGAGAATTGTTCCGTTACTATTTGTCGCTGGCGTAGATAGATGAAGACAGATACATTATTTGCAGTAAATATTTTTCAGATCATTTAATTGAAATTGGACGACCGTTAAATTTTGTGGCTTATAGTAGAATGCTGTGAGAATAAGAAATTGATTATGACTGTGCGACAAATTCATACTTCACATATCATCAGGGGCCTCAGCACCTCAGCTTCACACTGCAGAGGTGCAGGGTTCGATTCCGGCTCTGGCCTTCCTGTGTGGAGTTTGCATGTTCTCCCCGGGCCTGCGTGGGTTTTCTCCGGGTACTCTGGTTTCCTCCCACATTTCAGAATCATGAGTGGCAGGTTAATGAAACTGTCCCTAGCTGTGAGTGTGAGCGCGGGTGGTTGTTCGTCTAAGTGTGCCCTGCGATAGGCAACCAGTTCAGGGTGTCCTTCGCCTACTGCCCGAAGGCAGCTAGCATAGGCTCCAGCACGCCCCGCGAGCCTTGTGAGGATAAAGCGGACCAGAAAATGAATGGATGGATGGATGGATGATGTCATCAGTCATTATGAATACCATACGGATCTGCCTTCTTGAAAAATATAAGGAATACATAAATGCAATCTTGTTGGATGATTTGTAAGTGTGTGGCAATGTCATGACAGATTTACAACAACATGGCTTTGGTGGCTATGATCTTGCCTTCAAGCTTTTTACCAAACAAGTTCAGTATATTGGACATGAGTCTGAGAAGTTCCAGATGAAACACACATTTTCCATTTGTTTTGGCGGGGGTGCTGCTAGGTGCTCCATATCAATCCTACTGAATAGAAAATTCGATTTACGAGGGCCACTGTCGGTCACGGGCTCTCAGAATTGTCATCACTTCCAATGCAGCACATTTAAAATTGCTAAAATAGCAACTCCCTGAAAAAAACAAATCTGTGTGGAGAGATGCACTCACTTGTCGTAGGTGGAGGTGATGATAACGCATTGCTTTTTTTTTTTTTGTACAATATTGGAACCACTAAGGGCTAATACAGTACAATGCTGGTCATCCTAAAATTTGTTTGGTTTTCAAGCTGTCCCCACCCTGACCCCCCCCCCCTTTATAAACAATGAAAATTGAAAAAAGTAGTTGCTCTAGTTCGAAACTGTCAGCATCTTAAAAATGCACCCAAATTTTAATGTTCTTAACAGCCGCACATGTGTAAAAAGATAACGACGTGAATGGTCACACTTGACAAAAGTCTTGGGACTCTGCTCAAACCAGTTTTGATTGTGAGTGGGCTTCATTGTTGTTGTAACAGCTCATGTCATGTCACAGAAAATGAATCAACCCTATGATGTGCACCGAACTGAGATGCTGTGAGGTGTTGTGTGACCTTAATATTTGGCTGCGCCATTTTCCCCCACGAAATGTGGAATTCCAAGTTGTAATACGTGAGGGCCGTTTAACTTTAGAGCTTCCTCTGAAGAGCTCCTTTGAGTACCAGCGCAGTTATGTCCTTTTACTTGCCATTTTAGTATTAAATAACATGGCTGTGAATGTAAAATCAGCATTCACGCATACATCCATTTCTGAAAGTTTTTTTTCCTTATTGGGGATGTAGGTGAGCTGGAGCCAATCTGTTCCCACATGTGAAGGCATTACAGTTACTTAAGTGTACTGTGAAAAAAACATTTTTAAAAAAAATGATCGCTGGTGCAAATGATGACCCCCCCCCACACACACACACATGCAATGTATGTGCTATACAAATGATAATTCTCAGTTTTTCTTTCTGTGTTCATAACGCACATTTCCTTGATTTGCTGCCAAAGACCCTGTGCAGGGCCACTCCATTAATTATAGAGGCGCTGGGCCAGAGTGCATGAGGAGGGGGAGCGAGTCAGGGTCTCCTCGGTGCCATGAGGACCATCTGTGTTTGTGTGCGAGGGTGTGCTCATAGCCACATGTGTGTGTGTGTGTGGGGGGGGGGGGTACAGTTAGAAGGGAATAGGAAGAAGCCACAGGGGTCAGAGTGCAAAGGCCAACATGCATTCAGGATGGGCGCCTTCAACTTATTTGACAAAGCGTTGGAGTTTATGTCCCGACAGCTGCTTGTTAGGATCCATGTTTGCCAGTCTGGTCATGTCGTGTCTACGACCAAATGTGCACAATTATGTTTGCTACAATGCGACTATATTGGACACCGGACTGAGGCGCTTTGTTATTGTCAAGCCGCAGACTGTGACGCTGTTGTCCGGCAGTAGCGTAGTGACAGCACTGCACTCCTCCACAATGTCTACACTTCAACACAGGTTAACATTTGCCTCTCTTGGCTCTGAGTAGTACGTCTTGACATGTAGGTGAACTGAGCTAATGAACAAGTTGATGAGAGTGTGTGTGTGTGTGTGTGTGTGCGTGTGGCTGTAAGCGTTACCTTTACTTTCTACAAAGAGAAATTGCTGCTTCCTTTCTCCACACCCGCCAGCAGTGGTAGAACGCTTCGATCGAAACCTATTCAACTATGAATTTGTATCGATGACATGAACAGCCACTGTAGACACAAGCACCCCATAATAATGTCAATTTAAGGTGGTAGACATTTGATCAGTCACTGATGTTGTAATGGTACACACGCCAGACTTGTGTGCGGGCAGCCTGGGATCTCTTCCCACTCAGTGACGATGTGGGTGTGAATGGTCGTTTGTCTCGATATGTGCCCAGCGACTGACTGGCGACCAGTTCAGGGTGTGAGCTGCCTTCCGCCTGAGGTCAGCTGGGATAGGCTGCAGCAACTCCCCGCGGCCCTGTTCAGGATAAGCAGTGTTGAAAATGGAGGGATGGCTGGGTGGACATTCTGATTATGCAATTTGGACTGCAGTATTTGTGTGTAATCCATCCTGTAAAGAGGATTGCTTGATGGTTTCAGCTGTTGAATAAGTAGCCAGATGAACACCAAGTCTGCATTTATCCTTTATGGACCATGAGTTGCTGAGCTTTCCAACAAGTCTCCTGCAAAACCCTTTTTCAGTCTTTTGTATTACTCACAAACATACACGGGTAGATTAGAGCAGAATCTGCTGATGCTCGACTCAGAGCGTGGCCAGAAATCAACAATACTTTCTTAAGCTGCACAGACTTTTTTTCCACGGTCTTTGTGTGTGTGTCTGTTCGAATTTATGTCCAGGTCGGAGCTCAATTGCCCTGAAAATTCATCTTGCCATCCCTAAAAATACCACTGCAGTAGCGCGCTATACATTATTTCCTGACATTGCATTCTAACCATGACACACTGTCGGGAGTAGAGTAACTCATTAGTGTGTCACAAGTTTTCTCAAAACTGTGAGATCTACAACCCATTTGCTCAACGGTTAATGAGTTGATTGAAAGGTGCGCCACTTAGGTGTGGGCCAGTTACAGATTTGAGGATTTACAGAGGTTTTAAAAAGTCAAGATTTCAATAACGGCTCATCCTGGCTGTCACTGCTCATGAACGCTTCTTTTTTTTTTTTTTTTGAGGGAACCTCTCAGCAGGGCACAATATGATTGGTTGCTTGTGAAGTCGATTCAACCAAACGCCTTTTTGGAGTTAATTGCCTCCAATTCCCTTTTTTATTTCTTTTTTTTTTTTTTTTTGCTTCTCAGTAAGGAACAGAGGAGGATGGAGTTAGCAAGACTCTGTTAACATACGCATTTAAAAAAAAAAGTTCGAGAAAATGAGACAGAGGCGGCGCATATGTTTGGATCAACTCTGAGTTAATTTATGGAGATGCGGATGGTAATTTGTTCTGCATGTCAGTTGCTGACAGCTGCAGAAGTCCTTTGGCTGGCTCTGTCGTTCATGGGCCAAAGCCAGCAGGGCAGAGTGATTTCACAGCCAAGAGCTCTCAGGTGAACCCGCTGGCCAGACATAGCACACAAACGTGTCTGTAGGATGAGCCCCGGTACCGTCTGCAAGCTTCCGTATCACCCTTTATCCCCGCAATGACATCGACAGGAAGTGACGAATGTCCGAGCAGGGCTGTGGGTTGATAAAAAGCCTCGGGCTGGGAGGGGAAAAAAAAGTCAGAATGAAAAGACAATGTTCGGCTGGCACACGGCCAACAAAAGATCACAAGGACACTGTGTTGCATTCAATAAGCGATGTTTGTGCCGTGATGAATGCTTTCCTGTGCCTCAACACGCTCGCACGGCAGAGACAATGTAGTGAAGTACTATATTTTTTCGCAAAAAAATAAAATAAATTAAAAAAATCTGGATTTTGAACATAACTTTCAAGCAGTGACGTTGTTTGATGATTGAACCTTCACAACACAACAACATTAGTCTAAAGAAAAACAGCTGGGGAGGTCCTGCTTTCCGAAGAAATAATTTTCTTGTGCAAGAGTCACGATTTCAAATAAATGTCTACGATTGTTTCCCTTAGTTTGACTGTTTAGTGTCTGAGTGCTGCCATCTTTCTTCAGCATATGAGTCATCAATTATGCTCTGCTTCATTACCTCCAATCCCAGTTTGTAGCACGCACGCACACACACACACACACACACACACACACACACACACAAGCTCTGGTGAAATACACCCTGGCGGTTGAAAATGAAGCTCTTGAATGCAATGCAGACAGTTTATTACGAGAGGATATATAAAGCTCCAATGACGCCACAAGTAAACAAACCTTTCAATGATGTCATTTGACCCACAGCAGAGTGATTCAGCAAACAGGGTCAAAGTCTTGAATTATATTGTTTGCCTTATTCTCGCCATCGGTGGAATGTTTGAA